ACTCCCTTCAGAGTAAATAAGTTTTTTAGAGGTTAAAGTTCGGCGTTTGAGAAAGAGATGAAAAGAAGATATATTTTTGTGTTTATTTTTTTTGGACGTTTATAGTAATACCTCACATATCTTGTATAACTTTGAAAGAGCATCAAATATTCGGCACTTCAAAGAAATCGGCATTCGACAAAGTCTAAAAACGTTTCCAACATTTAATAGATTTAATTTCATATTTGAGTATTGAGGGATTGTACAAAGTTTTGAAATATGTTGAGAACCTTTGAGATTTTCTCTTCTTAGAGGGTATCTCGTAGTCGTGCATAGTCGTTTGAAGACTTGTCAACATTGTGCATTCAACATTTTGTTACTAACGCATATTGATAAACTAATTAATAAACTGATTGACTGATTGATTGGTTGACTGATTAATTGACTAACTGATTGACTAACCTATTAATTGACTGACTGACTGACAAACTGATTGATCGACAGATCGATAGCCAGCCTATGATCGATTAACTAACTGATTGACTATTAAATTTTTTGACCGAATGATTGTTTGACTGACTGGCCGATTGACTGACTAACTAGCTGATTGATTGGCTGACTGATTAACTAAATGATAGACTAACTGATTGACTAACTAATTAATTGACAACGATTGACTAATTTATTGTCTTACTGACTGACCGATTGACTGATTAACTAATTCATTGACTGCCTGGCTGACTGATTGACTGACTGAATGATTGATTCACTGACTAATTTACTGACTGACTGATTGACTGACTGACTGACTCGAATGACTGACTCGACTGACTGATTGACTGACTGACTGACTGCCTGGCTGACTGATTGACTGAATGATTGACTGACTGAATGATTGATTCACTGACTAATTTGCTGACTGATTGGCTGGCTGACTTATTAATTGATTGACAACTGATTTATTGACCAACTGACTAATTGATTGATTGACTGATTGGCTGTATTGCTTTACTGCTCGTGCATTCGGTGGTTGTATTTGCGCACTCTATGCTCTAGCTAAAACGCCCACGACTGCCGCCAAATGCGACAGGCGAAAGTTTACTGGGACTATGACCGCTTAGAATGTCTACACATACATTAAAAAACTCACACACACACACACACACACACACACATGCGGAACAGACTCTGGAACTTGAAGCGGAATTTTTGTTGCTCTGTTGCGTTGTTGTTTTGTGCAGCAGTCATTGAGTAGTGGCCGCAGGGGGCTGGGGGGGGGGGGGGTGGGGTGGTCTGTGAAGCAACGCTGGGGGCCTCATAGAAGTGTCTGGTGGCAGTGGCAATGTGTGTGTGTGTGTGCTTGTGTGTATCTGTGCGTGTGTGTGTGCGCTTATCTCCGAGTCGTTGCCTTGAATGTAGGGCAGTAGTTGGCACTCGAGAGTTGTTGTTGTTGTCGTTGTCGTTTTTGTTGTTGTTGCTGTTGTTGCACAGAGCGCTGCATGTGCAGCTCATGTCCCAGTCCACATATAGATGCACTTATATGTGCACACACACACACACACACACACACATGCATCGCATATTTAGTTATGTTGCAGTCTGTTTTTTTGTGGTTGTTGCTGCCGCTGCTTGCGGCAAAGTCATTGACTTGTTCGTTGCTTGCCACACAAATTCGGCATGGAAATTGTTGCAGTTGTTGCCAATGTTATTGTTGTGCCTGCTGCTGTAATTGTTGTTGTTGTTGTTCTTGCTGCTGCTGCTGCTGCCGGCCGTTGATTAAATGTTAGCCAAGATGCAAAGGTCGAGGATTTTGCGCAGCTTTGCTTTGTCATACATTTTTTTCTTATTGTAAATGCGATTCAACGTCTAGAATTTGTCGGAAAACTAATCGATAGCACACTCGCCCATCGATAAAAATACGATTATTAATGCTCATAAATATTAATTGTTGAGAAAACTATTTACAGCACAATAATCTGACAGACTTGTATAGTCTTTTCAGCCTCACATGCTAGCATAAGATGTTGCGCTTTATATATGTTTAACTTTCTATATTCATTTTGCACAAGCATTGTGCTGAAAGGGTATAAAACCCTTTCTTCCTGCTACTCACTCTTTTTTGGCCTTGGAATAGTTGATCCACCTGTACTATCATGACCTCCACGTCTGAACAACGTCTGTATCTCCGACCAAAAGTTGAAATTAACTTCACTCGGAGATATAACGTTTGCAAACGACATAGCTCTGCAGTTGACCATAGCTCAGTCAGTCAATTATTCAAGCAGTCAGTCAGTCAGCCAATCAATTAGCTAGTCAGTCAGTCAGCCAATCAGTTAGTCAGTCAGTCAGTCAATCAGTCAGTCAATCAGTCAGTCAATCAGTCAGTCAGTCAGTCAGTCACTCAATCAGTCAGTCAGTCACTCAATCAGTCACTCAGTCAGCCAGTCAATCAGTCAGTCAATCAGGCAGTCAGTCAGTCAATCAGTCAGTCAATTAGTCAGTCAGTCACTCAGTCAGTCACTCAGTCACTCAGTCAGTCAGTCAATCAGGCAGTCAGTCAGTCAGTCAGTCAGTCACTCAGTCAGTCAGTCAATCAGGCAGTCAGTCAGTCACTCAATCAGTCACTCAGTCAGCCAGTCAATCAGTCAGTCAATCAGGCAGTCAGTCAGTCAATCAGTCAGTCAATTAGTCAGTCAGTCAGTCACTCAATCAGTCACTCAGTCAGTCACTCAGTCAGTCAGTCAATCAGGCAGTCAGTCAGTCAGTCAGTCAGTCAGTCAGTCAGTCAGTCAGTCAGTCAGTCAGTCAGTCAGTTAGTCACTCAATCAGTCAGTCAGTCGGTGAGTCACTCTGCCAGTCAATCAGTCAGTCAATCGGGCAGTCAGTCAGTCAGTCAGTCAGTCAATCAGTCAGTCAGTCAGTCAGTTAGTCAGTCAATCAGTCAATCAGGACAATTAGTTTTTTAAATTGAGATATACATACTCTAGATATATTTGATGTTGCATTTTATTCGAGTTTGAATCAGAAGTATATCTAAATTTTAAGATTACGTCAAAGAAATTTCGCAATAGTTCGGGATGCAGTTATCCCAGTTGCCTGACTTCTGCCCATCTCCCATCCCCCATCCCCCATCTCCCAGCACTCGGCACCCGCCCACCTCCATCTGTGCGTCTTTCATTGGTTCAGTTAAAAATACTCTCGAAAATGAATAGAACATAAATAACGGGAGAAACGAAGCTGAAGCAGCGCCAGGCGGATGACTCCCTCAAGCAATAACAACAACAGCTCTCTGCGTGTGTGTGTGTGTGTGTGTGTGTGTGTGTGTGTGTGTGTGTGTGTAAGTGGCGTACGTAATAAAACGTTGCTGTCTCTGTAAATAAGGCATAAGAATTGGGTTAAAAGTTTATAGAGCAATGCAGAGATTTCAATGCAAGCTCCACACATATGCGTGCGTGTGTGTGTGTGTGTGTGTTCATATCAGCTGCCTCAAGTGGTTGGTTACATGGTCGCCGCCGCATGGTCGAAGGCTGCGCCATTTTTTCGATGGCACATGGCAAAAGGCGATGAAACGTTCCAACGCTCCACGCGCGGTCACATGCCGCTGCCACATGAAAAACAATGCACGTTGGATCACTATTGACGCAGGATGTGACTGTGACGGGGAGGGTGGGAGAGGGGGGGAGGGGGGTAGGGTGCTGCCAAAATCAAAGTGCCAGACACAAAGAAAAAACTAAAAACTAACCCAGTTAACGGTTGCAATGCCTAAAAAGCAAACAAAAGTTAAACAAGAAGAAGAAGCAGAAGTAGCTGTAGAAAACTTAGCTCCTCACCCACCACCCAGTTAAATGCCTCGATTAGGCGCAGATGCCTTATCAGCGGGTGGTTGCCCGGAGAGAGAGAGAGAGTGGGGGGGGGGGGGGTGGTTGTGGGCCCACACACATATCAATAGAAAACGCAAGTGGGGGAAATAGTAAGAAGCAAAGCAAGTACGCGGGCGCAGCAGCAGGGACATGCACACACAGAAGAGCCAAAGCCAAAGCCAAACAGAAAATAAAGCAACAACAACAAATAAAATAGAAGAAAACAACAACAGCAACAACAACAACAACAGCGAATGAACGAACGAGCGAGCGAACAAATGAACGAATGAACGAACGAGCGAGCGAGTGAGCGAACCAAACTGAGGAAAATAATAATAATGTGCAAATGAAAAGCTAAGAGAACGTCACGGTGCGAGGAGCGTGGAGCGGGGTTGGCTTGGCGCGGCGTCGTCGCCGTCGCCGTCGTCGTCGTCGTCGTCGCACTGGGTCAAAGACCTGTAGGAGGTCGTTTCAGCCGTTGCAGTGGCAATAGGCAACGTACAATACCACGGCGATGGCGACGACGGCGGCAGATAGCAAACACACACACACACAGACACAAAACACACAGCATAAACTATATAAAAGCACACACGCACACAGACTCAGACGCAGCTGCAGCGGCGTGCACTGTTGAATAATATAAGCTAACGACGACGACGTCAGCAGCGCTGCATATGCAACTGTACGAGGGAGAGAGAGCGAGAGAGTGTGAACGAGTGAGCGAGTCTAACGCAAGGCAAATGCACGAGCACAGACTGCAAAGAGCGCGCGCCAGCAAGAGAGCGCTTAGAAAAAGCTTCGCTGCACTGATGACGTTGGCGATTGCAGCGGCAGCGGCGGTGGCAGCGGCTGCGGTGGCGACTGCGGCTGCTGCTCCAACGACCCAGCGACCGAGCGAACGAAAATGAAATCGAAAACAAGAGTGAAATGCAGTGCGCCATATTGGTAGATTCTAGTGTGTGTGTGTGTGTGAGTATGTGTGTGTGTGTCAGAGAGTTACATGTGTTAAGGAGTTGCACTGCAATTATGACTGTTTATAATAATGTTATGTTAGGCCACATGTTCCACAAACCACATCCCACACACACACACACACACACACACACACACATGTGCATTTCCTACTTTTCATATTTCGTTTACTTCTTCTCTTTGCAGACATGCCAGGCAGAGGAACTGCATATTGCAAGCAATCGTCGTTTGGCAGGATCACACAAAACAGGTGAGTGATCGTGCCAGAAGGAGTGGGTGGATTCAAGAGGTGGTGTGGTCGGGGGGAGGGGGGGGGTTTGGTGGTGTGAGGATGCATGAAGTTGCCAGACCTGCCTTATGCAATGTCTGGCAACACTTAACGAAAAACACCCACAGCCAGCATGTTTATATGTTTTTGCACATGTTTGTATGTGTGTGTCTGGTGTGTGTGTGTATTTATGCACATATATTTACTCCTCAATCTTGCCCGTCGTCCAAGTGCTCCTCAAGGTGTCTGGCCGCCCCTTCAAATGGCAGGCACTCCACTCCACTCCACTCCGCACTCCTCTCCTTTGCACAAGTGCACTTAAATTTTTGCCTAGGATCAAATCTTCTATTCATGCAAAACGTATTCACTCGTATTTGTGGATTCTGTTGCCATTCCACCTGTTTCTAGAGTTTTTGTCGTGGCTTTCTATTTTGTCTAGCTGCCAGCTATAATTATTATGTCATTTTTTAATTGCTTTTTTTAAAAGTTTCTTTACGGGCATCAAATTTGTTGTTGGCCGGACTTTTATACGGGGCTTGAAATGTACGCAAAATTGTATTCAGCTATTATCAGGATATTTATAGAGTATTCAATTATCGTGCATGTGCTTCATTGTGCATTTATTTCAAATTAAGTTTTGAGTTTTGATTTAAACAAAATATTGCAATTCTCCAAATTCCCAACACAGCGTTCATTGTGTAGAATACCTGTCGAATACCTAATGAGGGAGTAAGGTTATCTTCGGTACGCCGAAGATCTAATACCCTTGCAGACAATTGCCCTACGCTTTTGCAGATATGTGAGCACAGTTAAGCTCGTAAATGCTGAGTTTGATACAAATATCTTGCAAAACAGAATAGGCAGACAAAAACTTCACTTTAAACCGATCCCTCCTATATGATATAGTGGTCCGATATTGACAGGATTTTGGATATACATATATAAGGAGCATAGTTAAACCAAATAATGCCGTCAAGATTGGTTAAGATATCGTGAAAGTCGTTCAGACAAGAACCTACTTTTCGACCGATCGTTCCTATGTCAGCTATATGATATAGTGGTCCGATCCAGCCGATTCCGACAGAAAGAGATTAAATAATATTTATTATTTTTTTTAGGAGATTCTCAATAGAACAGTCAAAGATGAACATTCAAATACTTTATATTGTATAAAACGATTTCTTATAAACATATATAAAAAAACATATATTATATATATATATATGTATATATATATCTATTATCTATATCGTTCAACAACAAAATAAAAAACATAAATAAAAAAAAAGAGAAATAGAGAAATTGAGAAATTGCGAATGTCCAAAGAAATATCCCTCGAGACATTTTCGAGTAGCTCTAGAAAGGCAACTTCGCAGCCATATTTAAATCGGGGTCAGCCTATCTAAATACTTCCACATTATTTGTAGCATTGTCCGTAGATTTCGTAATTTTTATTTATTATTATATAAATGCAGCTAGTTGCAGCCGGCCCCTCATTGCGAGTTGACCCAATCAATATGTCGCCATAATTGTACTGAATCCGCAAGAGAAATATTTAAAATTAGCTAAATTGTTATTTGATTGGGCAATCATTTACATTTTCCAAGGAATTTTTAAAGTAATTGCGACCGATTTGTGGAAGGAAGAAACATATAGCTAGACCCGGCCTAGATTTTGGTTAAGGCTCGGGATTATTATTATTATAATATTCCGTTTATTATGTTGCATAATCTGCTCTATTCGTTCTTGAGTTTGATTGTTAGGGAGAAAAATAAAAGATTTAAGAATTTGTGATAATCGGTGCTTAAGGTCCGATCTCTATTAAATCTTAATTATAAACAAGGTTCTTACTTAAGAAATGACTTTTTTCCAAGTCCTATCGGATTGATCCTATTCTATATATATTAACCTCTTTATATATTTATATATATCTTATATCATAATCTACACACCAAGTTTAAGTACTTAGCTCTTAAAATCGACGAGCTATGCTTAGAATAACATATCAGAAAATCGATATTTATCGATATTTTGACAATATCACGCAGAAAAATGACAAACGCGCTCTGCGTATATGCAGGGGAGTATATGCATATACTTCATATTACAAGTCTACTAGATCTTCTAGATCTTTTAGTTGCCGCGCTCAAAGCCGAAGCGATTCAGCTTCTCGTTCTGTTATCGTTTATCGATTAATTCGCTTATGGCGAAGTTCAACTAACCCATATATCATAAAACGATCTCAACTGATCCCTAACCTTACAGCTTGGGCATGGGGCATGTCAAAGATTATGCCCCCCCCCCCCCCTCGCTGCTGCCCGACAAAAGTTTTTTTTTGTTTTTATCTATGTGCCACAAGCTGCAAAAGTTTTCCGCTTTTCACGTTCAACGACGACGATCGCCGAGTTGTCGCTGTCTTCTTATTGTTGTTGTTGTTGTTGTTGTTGTTGTCGTTTTCCTTGTTGGCTTCATTTGCGCAACATTTGCCAAGCGCTGCGCGGGGGAACAGTAAGGGGCGGGGGGGGGGGGGGGTGTGGTGTGCGGCACGCTGCATAACCAGTGTGGCCGGGGTGTCGGTGTCGGCCATCATATGATTTGCAATTTCCATTGCATTGCATTGCGCGGCTCGTGTGGCGTCGGAGAAGTGGTGAAGGGGGGGGGGTGGGGGGGGGGTTTATGGGTTACGTAAGCTAAAGTTAATGCCACATAATCATGGCTGAAGTTGCAACAAGCAATGGGAAATGGGGAAATGTTGCAGCGTGTGGCAGCGGCAACCATGACACGCCATCTTGTTGCAACAACAGTTTTTCCTGCCACTTTCTCTCTCGCTCTCTCGCTCTCGCTCTCTCTTTCGTGCTCTCGCTCTCTTTTGTGCGATGAAGTAATCGACTGCCCCAGCGCCCAAGCAGCGCCCAAGCCCGCCACCGCCGCCCGCCCACATTGTATGCCCCTCTCCCCGCCCCTCCCCCTCCCCCTCCTCTCTAGCTAGCCGCTGCAACACGCAACGGGGCAAGTTGATCGTCGCGTTTGCAGTTTTTAACGGTGACTTAATTTTTCTTTTATTTTTTTTTTCCTTTATTTTTCTCACTCTGCTTTTTGCCATTTTGCTTTCATGGAAAACTGGTTTCGGTTTTTCTTCTTACTTTTTTTTTTTTATTTGCAACTGCAGCTGCTTTTTTTGTTGAACGAGCCTATCTTATGCCTAACGATCGCAACGTTTCGATTTTCTTCTTTTTTTTTGGTGTGGCTCGCAAGTTACGTCGACTCCAGCTGTTGGGAGGGGGGTGACAGCTGGCGGGGCGGTGCGGGGCGGGGCGGGACGGACGCCTGGCTTTAAAGGAGGCGGCCCTAGACCTCCGTTAGATGTGGGTTGGCCAAAAAGCCAAAAAAAGAAAACTAAAAAAGCACCCAAAACCTGAGACATGCGCGTGAAAGTTGCCTCAAAGGCGACACAAAAGACTAACATAACTGTTAAATGATTGATTCCATCTCCATCTGCGGCCTCATAAGCTATATACATATATTCTTGAGCCGAGTCGATCTTCCGTCCGTCCGTATGCATAATTACGTCGATCTCAGCGATCAGAAGAGCCAAAGACCTGTTTATTTAAAATGATTGAACGATTTGTGTCAAGCGATCGATACATTTGCCATTAAATCGATAAGAAAAGATATCGATTAGAGAGACACCAAATTTGCTTCAGTTTCTCCCAATCGACCCTGAAAGTAGTTCACATTCATATAAGAAGGTACAGTCTTTGATATTTACACACATTTCCCATGGTCTGGGGCTAAGGGAAGAACAAGAGCGACCGCTGTTAGGCCTGACTGATTGACTGATTGAGTCACTAATTGACTGACTCACTGATTAATTGGTTAGCTGACGGACTGATTGATTGACTGTCTAATATATAGATTGATTGATCAACTGACTGATTGATGGGCGTACTGATTGACTGAGTGAATCACCGACAGGTTGATTGATCAATTGACTGACTAATGAACTGGCGGACGGACTGATAGAATGATTGATTGTCTGTTTTATTAACGAATTGATTGAGTACACCACTGACTGATTGATAGATTAACTGACTGATGCTAATTCGATTAACTGTCTGATTAAATGAGTGAATCACAGACTGTCTGACTGACTGATTGACTCACTGATTGATTGATTGACTCACTGATGAACTGACCCTTTTGACTGCACAGCTGACTGATTAACAAACAGACTAATTAACTTTCTGACTGCCTGATTGCAGACAGATTGACCGACTGATTAAATTATTGACCGACTGATTAAATGATTGACCTGCGACTCTGTCGTTTGATGCAGGGTTCATGTCTGGCCTTGGACCTCGGCTTGTGAACCATTTATAAAAACAGCATTTTGCGCTTTCTGATTGACTGATTGACTGATTGATTAACTGATTGACATATGTCTGCACACTCAACTGAACAATCACAAGTTTCCCTTTCCCTTTAGCTTTTCGTTGGTCAAAATGGGGTTGGTGCAGTTTTTTGGCTGCCACCCATGGCCCCCAATCGCTGCAACGTGCAACGTGCAACATGCAACGTGCAACGTGCAAGTTTAATGCATTTGTCCATTGGCCTGGCTCGCCCCTGGCTCCCTCTCGCCACCCTCTGGCTCTGTTTGCATCTGCAACTGTGTCTGTCTGCCTCCTGTTGCATCTTTGGCCTGTTGCACTTCCTGCTTTGGCTTGCAACCGCTTGCAATTTGATCGCCAGCGCAATAGAGCAGCCAACCGACCCCCCCCCCCCCCTCTGACCCTCTCTGCCCCGCTTTGGTGCAGCGGCAACATTGCCTGCTAACACCATTTTCCTTTTGCTGCCGTTGTCATAGTTGTTGTTGTTGTTGTTGTTGTTGTTGCTGCTGGTTGTTACGTGAAAAACGAAAGTAAAACTCGCAACGACGACGACGACGACTTTGGTGCAACATCGCAATGTTGCTGCAGTTGCAG